TGGATTGACTTAATGAGATTAGATGAACTAGGCATGTAGGACTCCCAGAACTGCAGAGTGCAAGACATTCCTTGGACCTCCTGTGCCCAAGACCAATGTAAGAAAATTTCCAGGCTGCACCCACAATAAACTTTCTGTCCTTACCACAGAAAGTACAACATACAGAGCTAAAGCCACATTCTTAAGGAACTTTAGCTCTCTTTTGAGAAGCCCTTGATAAAACTCAAAGTTAGTACAAGGGACAGAGTAGGAGTACGTGGGGAAGGATGGGGACCTGCACAGCACAGATTTAAACCAGTTAAGCTGCCGTGAAACTTTAGCTGGAGACATGCCTGTGGTCTTTGATTGCATGTCAGGGTAATACCTGTTTTACTAGGGATCAATAATTATCTCATCCTGGCCATGGGGTAGTTTTTAGCTGAGAGCTGGCTATAGCTAGGAAAGGTAGAGTGCACTCGGATCCTGGTGTGTTCCTTCTGCTCCTGCATATTTTATGTACTGGACCATAGGGGAGCAGGTTTGTGATTGCTGTTGGGAATGTTTGACTACATAGGTGATAGCAGGCAGTGAAAGTTACAGACGGGAGCCATCTCCTGCGATCCTGAAAATTTAATTTCACAGCAGGCACAGATGCTTTTTAAAAGTCTGGTAGGTTTTTTCCTGCTCTGCTCCAGCGTTTCCCCTCTCTCCCCATTATATGTGGCACTCGGTGCCATTATCCCAGCTCCCACGCCATCGCCCTGGCCATTAGCACTTTAGAAGCCACTGGTGGGTAGGAATTTGCTTTCTTCTGTCTGACACCATGCGCTGCTGTGCAAGTACCTCCTGGGCAGTGCTTTCCTCAGGAATGTGTGCTGACTCGTGAGTCTAGCAGCAAATTTGGCTCCCACACACAGACTCCCCTTCGAGCTAATCTTTCTCTCAAAATTTGATTTGTTTAGGGGTTTTTTTTCCTGGTTTGGCAGAAGTTTAGTGTTCAGACATCTGCATTTCTGAGACCATGGCACAGAGAGAAGGGATTTAGATACACAATGAACTGGGATGTTTGGGGGAAAAGACAGACAAGATTTGCAAGAGAAAGGACTGGTCACACCTTATGGCAGAGGGAGGCTGAAAATTAAGAAGGGTGTGGAAGAGTATTTCAACATTTGAGCTGACAAGTGCAGAAAAGCTCCAGGGATGACAGGGTAGGGGAGGGTATGTGTGGGATTATATAAAGTCTAACAGCGTAACAGCTGTGATTGGAAAAGACTCTCCCTGGCTGCTAGGATTGTCCTTCTGACCCCCCAATCAGCATAATGATCAGAAAATGTAAAAGGAGATTAGAGAAGCTGCAACCTCGGATCGGTAGCAATGATGGGAGACTGTGATTACCTGGGTTGGACTGGATCAGCACGTCATCAAGATGAGACACACAGAGAAAATTCTGGGATGCAATAGGAATCTGCCTCCTAAAACAACTGTTCTAAAACCCCACAGAAAGGATGCCATTTTGGGTTTGGCCTTAATTTATGTGCATGACTCCGTTCAAGCTGTATTCACTGCTGTGTGACAGCAACTGCTATGCAGCTGGGACTGACACTGAGGCAAGACAGAGCAGACCAGGTAAATCCAGCACACGAGTATTCAATGTCAAGAAGGGAATTATGTAAATATCCAGCAGTTGGTTCAAACAAAAACCCTGCAAGAAGCTAGCCAAGAGACAAGAAGCCTGCAACAAGGGTGGAGGCTAAATTGTTGTTTGGGTTTAGGATTTGGGGGGGTTTAAGTTTATTAGAAGCCCAGGTAAACTGTTCAGCCAGCAAGTGATCCGATAAAGGCCCTGCATGGCTTGATGAGAAAGGGAAAAGTTTGATTTTTTTAAGAAGTGGAAAGCTTACTCAAACGAGGAGAACAAGAAAGCCCGTAAAACATGACAGGAGAGATATAAACTGGAAATTAAGACTAAAAAAATAGAAAGAGTACATCAAGACATGCTAAAAAAACATTAACAGCAAGAAGTTCTTCACTTAAAAAATGCAACCCAGGACAAGCTTACAGGATGCCAAGCTCAAAACAGACAGTTACAGCTCAGGGAAAGGATCCTTACCTTTGATAGTTCTGTGAAATCATGACCTCAGTATGCTGGGACAGCCCAAAAAGCCCACAAAATATCAGGAGATATATATATATATATAGGGTACCATCAGGATGGATGTTGAGGACAAAGCAGAGGGCATCTCTCTTCTGCAATATAAAACATCTTAATTGTTATGTGTAGCTCTGGATTTTGTGTTTGCAGAAGGATATAGGGATGATCCAGAAAGGGACAACCAAAAGAATCCAAGGGATGGTGTGCTGCATTAAGAAAGCAGGCTGAAAAAGCTGAGTGTCATCAGTTTGGGGAGGAAAAGGCTGTGGGAGAATAAGGGCAAGGTAGACAAAATCATAAAGAAAGTAAATAAATTAAAGGTATAACCCTTTACGAAATCCTGTGACAGTTGAACTAGGGGCATTTGATTAAACTAGTGGGAGATTGTTTTAAAACAGATAATACCGAGCTTGCTGCCACAGGAGCCTGCACAGGCAGATGGATCAGCATCAGAAAGGGATTAGGCAAATTCACAGACAGCAGGTGCATAAGGGATGCTAAAAAGAATGTGTGTGTACCTATATAGCAACATCCCCAGTGTAGTGCAAGGGGAAAGGACCAGACATGCACGTTTTCCCTAAACAGCATTTTCTGCTGTTGGATTCAAGTCTCACTTCTGCAAAGGTGACTAAATTTTCAGGATTCCCATAAATTACTTTTCCTTTTTAAAATGAAGGAAGTTCACATTGACAAACCCTAGCTACAATCTGAAATTATTAAGGTAGATAACGAGACCTTGTTACAGATCCAGCACATCATTGCTGCAATGAGTTTTATGCAAAATGGCACAGCCACCCACAAGAATATTCTCTTACCCAGGGTGCGCACTTATTCTTTAACAGCACCTGCGGTGTGTTTCTGAACCCCCTAATGCTGAATCATTGCAGCAGAATCACTTTTGTTGCAGTCAAAATAGTATACGTGGTGGGGCTGACTACATAGCATGGGATTAACCATTGATTGGAATGCATGGAGTGAACTTTTTGCATTGTTACTATTAAATGAATGACACTGTGACAGAAATGAAATACTTATGCAAATTATGGTGACTTTTTGTTTCTTTAATGCTCTAGCTGTTTGAAGTTGTGATACTCTTGAGTATTTTTATAGTTTTACTGTCATACATTTTACTACGGTGCTTTCATCGGAAATTACATCTTTTAGTACCAGTTATAATGTGAGTTACAAAGCAGTGCAGCCTGTGTGTTAGACTGTAACATATCCTGAGGCAAACATTGTTCCATCTTAGGAGAACAAGAAACCGCAAAAAGTCTGATGTTTCTTCCTTTTTCTCCCACAAAAAAAAATTCCCACTGGGAAAGAG